ACAGACCGAAAAGCTCTCGCACGTGTCCACATGACACAACCTTTATTTACAAGCCTAAAGAGGCCACCAACCCAACTAAAATGGGACTTATAAGCCTTCGGCTGCCCCTCTACATGTTTTACAAGGCATGAACATGCCAACAGACACGGACAGATATAAGCATTACATCAAACATCCTGTTTCAAAGTTTGTCCGTGACAATACGACGAATAATTACACAAACCAACTGTTTGCAGAAGAATTTTAAACAAATTAGCAGTTATGCCCTGTGAACATACAGCTCCAACAAGTATTTTGTTTAAGTTATTCCATTCAGATAGTGGGAACTGAAACTAATATTTGAAGAACTCAGACTATACAGAAACTACTTTCTTAATTCACTGACGATAATAACAGGCCCATTGACTTGTTTATGAAAAATGAGAAATTAGAGATTTGTAACTGGCATCATCAGGCTTATAGCCAAGCTTCAACATCTCATCATGCAGATTCATGGCCTTCCGCATATCCTTTATTTGACAAAGTTCACAAATCATAATCACGAAACTATGACTATCCAAGACATTCTTTTCTTGCATATAATCAAAAACTTGGACAGCTTCTTCGATCCTTCTTTCTCCGAAAAGTGCTCTGAGGAGCAAATTGTATGAGCATAAATCAAGATATCCACCCAATTTCTTCAATCTATAATGCAATTCCATTGCTAAATCAACAAGCCTGTTTGTGCAATAGTACTTGACCAACTTGTCGCAACAAAAGGCATCCAACACGATACCATTTTCCACAGCAGCATCAATAAGAACATTAGCTTCCTTCCACATAGCCTTGCTACAGTGTGCCGCTATATATTTTGAAAGATCAGAGATCTTAGGTGCATACCCTCTTTTGATGGCATCTTCTAACACCTGATCCACTTCCCTTGATGGCGCTCCATTACAAATACTAGTAAGAAAAACACTACAACTGCTAGGATTCACTTTGATACCTTTTTCTGACATGATCACATAGAGTTCCATAGCATGCTGCACCCTTCCTTCATTGGACAATGCCTTGAGCAGACTAACATACACACCTTTCCCTAATTCAATATTTTGAATTCTAGCTCTATCGAAAAGCATTTTCGCTGCATAGCTCTTCTCCATTTCACAAAATCTGTTAATAATGCGATCGTATTCCAAGCAAGGAACAGTTGGTAGGAAACCATGCACCACCATCACTCTTAACATGAAAGCCATGAGCCGGCCATCACCATGTCTACAAGCACCATCGAGGATAGCACTGTAAGTACGAAACCTTGGTTTTAGATTGATTTCGTGCATCCTAGTCAAGAGGCCAATAGCAGCTTCGAAATCCCCTTTCTTGCAATAACAATTTATAACCAGATCATAACCTGAAACCCCGGGCCCTCCTGAGTCCAACAACACCACGGCCCTTTCGAGCTTCCCTTCCATGCAAAGAAGCCGAACCAGCTGCGACCAGGTGCGAGAATCTGCCGTGGCGCCGTTGCGCATCGCAGCGGCGTAACAACACCGCGCCATCCCAATCCCATCCCCACCCGACGTGCACAAAGCATCAAGAAGAGCATTGCAGCTACAGGTCGTGATCTGACACCCAAAAGCTACAATTTTTCTGAAAGATTCCAAGCTACCGGCAATCAAATCGGAACGGCAGTAGGATTCCATGACAAAATTGAGAACCCTAGAACGAGAATCCTTAGAGTGGGAGGCGGACGCCAGGGAATCGATCACCGCCTGCGACGGGAGGGACGCGAGGACGGGATCGAGGAGCCGCCTCGCGTCGTCGAGGAGGCAGGATTCGACGAGTGTGAGGACCATAGCGGAGAGAGATCGGAGGCCGGGGCGGAAGCCGAGATTGGATTGCGCCCAGGCGAAGAACTGGAGGGAGATTCGAGGGTGGGATCGGGTGTTGGAGAGAATTCGGCGGACGAAGTCGTCGGGGGTAGCGGGTTTGGGGAGGAGGGAGGGCTTCGACAGGAGGAGGGGGATCCAGTCGTTGCGGTGGAGGAGAAGGGAAGATACCTGGTCGGCGAGGGATCGTTTCTTGAGGTCGGCCCGCCATTTGGCGGAGGTCGGGAGGGTGGAGAAGGCGGAGGAGACGCGGGGGAGATGGAGGAGGAGTTTGAAGAGCATTAGGAGGAGCAGCGCCGGCAGAATGGATAGTAGGGAAAAAGGAAAATTGAACGATGGATGATGATGATGATGATGATGAACGAACCAGATCAGATTGAAAACCAGTATTCATCGTATCTTTCCGCGAGGCATAAGGTTGCGAGAACTTGGTATCCATGGAACTGGAGTCGTGGATTTAGGCCCCCACATGGGGACCTAACCTAATACAGTTTGATTCAGAATCAGTGGTGTCACAAGATTAAGCTTCATGCGTTTGCAATTAAAGCCACTCTCTCTCTCTTGAACGACACATCTTCGGGGGCCTTCCTCCTGCTCCCCCCGCCCCTTCCCTTGCAAAGCAGGAACCAAAGGTGGTCAAGTGTCTTGTTTCGCATACAGCTGAACATGGCGCGGCCACACCTGACCATACACATCCTTCTTGGTATATCGCCTGTCCCACGACCATGGCACATCTGCACATAAACAAAGAAAGATGAATCAATTTAATTTCCTTTTTAAATCTGAAACTAAGATGGAGGAGGACATAGAATAATACACCTTCGGAGGTGTACGGTTGAGGAGGGAGTTGATATGGCACGGGTAACTGTATCACTTCAGAGGCATCATCATTTAAGCAGAGAGTTGCCAGACTCCAAGGCTTGGAGGAGGAGGAGGAGTTCTCATGTGCTATCTATCAACGAAGTATGTTTTAGAGCATGGCGAGTAGCTACCATGGTTCAGATCATTCAAGAGTGAATTTACCTGTTCCGTTCCATCATTGCCTGCGCATGAAAACCAACTCCCAAGGTCCTTCACATAAGCAGGCAAGAATAGTACCCCCAACTGCCCAAAACAAAAAAAACAGGATCAATCATGGCATGAAAATATAAAGACCATACCAACAGATCACCTCTTTCTCTATAGCAGGAAATATGCAGTGAAGATGGAGTAGATTAACTGAAGGAAAACCTGTGAGAAGTTAAACTAACCATCCCTCCTTGTAAACTTAATGCTTCACTTATATGTCTTCCACCCTTGTGGTTTCCTCGAGTCACCTTGGTCCAAGATGATGCTACGTTCAACTAAGGGTAACTTAACAATGTAATGTTCTATATGCATGTGTGTGGTGAAACATCAAAAATATTACTTGTTTGCCTATATTGGGCACTAAACCAAGAGAAGCTTAAGAATAATTACAGAAAGAACTTACCTCATAAGATCGTATCATTAGTTGGGAATTGTTCTTCTGTAATGCACCCCAAGCAGCTTTGCTTAGATTTGCCGAAGTAAGCAGAAACCAACTGTTTCAATACATCAAAAATTCAAATTGATATTTCAAAATGACTTTATATTGCAATGAATGATGGAAAATGGGTACTTACGCAAGGTTCTGACCATTGTACCGAGTGTACGTTTTTATATGAGGCATTGCACGACTGTTCCATCAAAAGTATATGCAACGATTCATGAAAAAGTCATACAATTTCAAAGAATTATATGGAAAACAAAGCATATTGATGATGTATGCATATATGTATATGCATGCATTCAAAATGAAAAACACCACCATGGTTGAACTAGAATGTTACTGAGGATCACCCTTGTCATGTAGATCATTGTACATTGTGCAATACATGCTATTCACAATCCAAAGGTGACTTCTTTATCTCCTCTTTCTATTTTTTTTCCTACCTTTACTATCTTCTATCTTCTCTCCCCATTTGTTGTCATACTGAGGCAGTAGAAGCTGCCCATATAACCAAAATTTCTCCCTTTTCGAAGTCTCATTTAAGTAACAACTGCTTTAATTTAGGAATTAAATGAGACATATTCATGCGGATTGATGTTTCTTCCCATATAAAATTGTAGACTTTTAGTACTTCTTATAATTCTGTGCAAGGTGATCTGACTAATTGACTGCCTAGCGCCTATACATCCAGTAGTATCCTGTTCACCCTTCTGCCACCTACAGTTTTCCGAAATATTGCAAACAAACCATGTAAATTAGAGTAAAAAACATCAGGAAAGCATGAAGAAGCTTTCATATAGACCTATCAACTCAAAGATAAGCTAAAATAAAGAAACCCTTTAAATATTTGGTTTCATATATTCAAATGATCAAATCTAAAGTAAAAGGCCATACCAGCGACCTACATGGTTAGCCTTCCATTTCGTCCAATATTTTTTTAGAAAATCCTTCTCTACATTCTTTTGTGGGCTTGGAATTGCATTGCCAGCCGCATAACCCTGGGCGTGGAGCAGTGTATAAAGTACTTAAGAATTAAATAAGAGTGAAGGTCCATAAAATCCATAGAACAAATGCCAATAAATAGGTGACTGTAAGAACTCAAGAGGTAACTAATTGACTAAATCCAAATCCAATTAGGATTAGATCAAGTATTTATTTTTCCTTTAAATTTCTCTTGAACATTAATAGTTGCCTAGTTGATTATCATTTCACATTAGATCTCAACCATGCCCCTTTTTATATATATTTGAGGTCTCTTCCAAGTCTATTCCCTAGTTTTTTCCACATCAGCAGATTTTAGGAAAAAGGGTGGCTCACTGGAGTAAGAATAAAAATACAAGCACATACCTTGGCTTAATTTGCAATGACAAAAGGTAGACACACAGAAGAGATATCAGAAAGAAATGAACCAAAAGAAAGAAGAGGAGGTAGTGTCCTGTTGTACTTGATATTTCTATTTAAGCAGTATAATAATGTAAAAGAGAAACAAAAGGGGGTTACCATTCTTCTCAATTTTTACAAATAATAAATGGAAAAAGCTATCACTTTAACTTGCCTCTTATATCCACTGGGCTAAATGATTCATCCCAAATAATAATTATCGCCAAACTTGAGCTCCATTTTCTGTATAGCTGACTTCACCATGAGATCCAGCGATTTGGCATACTTTTTAGTTTTTAATGTTAGTTTATATGCAGGTCATAGCTCATTTCAGATCAGTCTAACATATATAAGATCTAAGATATAACTTTGGGACCTTTAAAATAGCTGAAGCAAGTGTAACTAAACAGTAGCACTTTTAAGTCAATTTTAGATCCTTCATCCACCAATCAGTAGCACTTTAAGTCAATTTTGCCTTAATGGTAATTAGCACGCTTTCTTTACAAAAGTACACAGCAAACTAACTAAAGTGATTTTATGCAGCTTTCCTTCCATTCTATCATTCCCGTGGTTGTGTGGAATCTCTCTCATATACATATGGTGGATCTCATACCAGGAAGGCTAAATAATGAAGAAAAACAGATCAGGATAATGACTATAACAGAACAACTAATTATGACATGGACAAAGTACATTGATGGACTGCAGAAAAATAAATTCCATATAAACTTCAGCAGTAATACCTCAATGGAGCATCTAACATCCTCTACAGTTGGCCAGATTATGTGAGGTTTTCCAATCCCCAGTGGAGATTTATCACTTGAAACACCAGAGGACATGGACACTGTTAACTCAGACAGCCACTTCTCATCCAGAGAACCAAGAGAGGAAAACTGCAATACAAAAATGAGACATGTTACATTTCTGTCAGATATCCTCCAAGGCTGCCATCAACTTCATAAAAACAAAAATTGGTGATCATGTAAATAAGTTATCATAAATCAAGCGGAATCAGATGATAGGGTAAAAAAATAATGGCACCAACAAGGATTGTCAAATAGTGTATTGAATCCATACAAGTCCCCTCTTACACTGCTACAGTACCTGTAATAAACCAGACAGTGTTGGTACACTTGGCATGGCTACTGGTTCAGCCAAGGCATGTTAAACCAGTAGAAGAAATATCTCCAATCTTTTTTTTTTTTTTGATTCTTATGAAAATAACTTATCATAGAATAAACTTGTATGTAGAACATAACATATACAGCCCATGACCATATGTAGAATTTAGGACCAGAATAACATCTCATCAGTATATATCCCAATTGAAAGGAAACCAACATTTGACATTGAATTGTAACTAGATGAAAAACAATACATGATGACCTGGGACATCAACATGAACGATAAAAAAAAAACCCCTTCACTAGATCAAGGGTCTAAGCCACTGCACTACCCCCAACTTGAAAACATATGGGACATTTTAGGGAGAACTGCTCCCTCCATCTCAGCTGCTTTCCCTGAGACCAGCACAAGCTGCAGCTGACCTAGCCTACCTTCCTGATTGAGTTGCAGAGCACATGAAAAGGAGAATCCTTCTCTGAATTCACTCCAATGATTCAAACATAATATAGCCTATATGATATAATCATATAAGCCCAAAACCACATCACATAGAGGGAGGCTAAAGATTCTAATGGCACCAATATCAACTTGATATTAGACTAGCATCACTGAAATGCCATATCAATTACTAATCTTGGTGAAAATCTATCTCGTGGCTTACCTAAACTGCCTTTTGTAAGCTATGTCAAAAGCTAGATACTATCAAGTGTCCAAAAAGAAGCTGACACTACAAAAAAAAAGCAGAGATTGTTCAACCTCCACATATTTTTGCATGTGCAATAAGTCATTAAAGAGAATATACAGAATAAATCTCACAACATACATACATCGAAATGTAAAATGAAACAAAAGCTGTATAAAACAAACTGTTGTCACCTGATATATAAGAGGGGATTTACAAAATTCTTTGTCAAATATACAATTCCCAAGAACACTTCGTAACTTCATATGCCCCCACTTGTTCAAATTAGCACCCGTATGATATCCAGGAACTGATGCAATCAACCTCACCTGATAGTAAAAAACGGTACCATTCCAAGATACTAAGATCTAAATACTATAATTATATAGATCTAAAGGCACAAAAAGATACAAATAGAAGTTTTAAAATCCCAATTCATAAAATTGGAACTTGATGAAAAAGCATTATTCCTGACATCGAAATCTTTGTGAGTTGTTCACCATAATGCAAAAGCAACATCATAGTCGGCACATAGAATTTATCAAACAAGTATTATGATGAACTCCAAAACCATAGTGATTTGTTTACCATAAATAAAACTTATAGTACATGTGAAACAATCATTAAGTGGTTTGACCAAAACAAGATAAATTAATGAACTAGAGAATTTACAAGAAGCCTCCAAAAGAACTAATACAGAGTTGAGACATAAAAACCACAATTTCAGAGAAGTAATGAATTTCTCTATAATTTACTCTTGAAACTAAAGGCAAACGGACATACAAGTCCAAAGGAAACACAGAAAAAAAGAAGGGTCAATTCAGACTTCGTATATACTATGGTGATATCACATTTCAACCTAAATTTGCTATCAAGTTTAGTTTTACCTAACTATAAATGCATCTTACTATATAAGATTCTGTAACCGGAATATAATGGTCATGCAATGTCCGTAGAACATTTTCTTTAAAGTCTGAATAGTAGTTTTAAAACCAACCATACAAACCTCCAAATAATTATGCAGAGATTATAAGATAGTAGGCATCCTTAAACATTGGTAGAGGCTTCCATCCAAAGAATGACCATATAAAACTTTAAAGTCTGATAGTAGTTTTAAAACCGACCCAAATCTCTACACAATTATGCAGACATTATAAGATGTAAGCATCCTTAAACCTTGGTAGAGGCTTCCATCCAAATAATAACAGCTTCTGCATGAGATTGGGTTTTATGCCAGAATGGTGGATAATGACAAGGCTATCTCTAGCTAGGAGGATGGCTAATCCCTGCTGTCAAAGCAACTATTTACAGCAGTAGTTATTTAAGCCATTATGCTCGGACACCTTCTTTTCTTTATAGGTGATGGGTAGGCAAGGAAACCCCAATGTTCACATATGACGGTTTCTGTGATCAACAGTATGAAATATCTTTGTGAACTAAAATATTGCTAGTCAAATTGATTGGAAGAAAATACAATATAATCATCACAGTAAGGTGAAGCAAGATATAATATTTTTGCTATGGAAATAATACATAATAATTGATGGGAGGGAATATGATGTATTTTGATGGCAAATACTATGGCACACAAGAAGATAAAAGAATATGATCAAACTAAGCCATTGGCTTGGACGTTGGTCATGGAACTAAAAGAAAAAAGAGAATGCAACACTAAGGAAAATCGACCTGGCTACGCCCCATGTGATCATCTCAACTATCTCAGATCCACCTTAAGAAGAATGAGTGACACATAAGATGATATTACATGGAGACAAGTTAAACTGGCAATAGATAGTGACAACTCAATAAGAAGTCAGGCTACGAATCAAGGATATAAAATTTTAAATGAAACTATCAGACATGAAGTAAGGGTGGATGATTAGAGATTGGAATATTAGATTGATGTTTAGAATATCGAGATAGAAAGAACACTACAAAAAGATAGTCTGGCTTAAGAATAAATATTTTTGTAACAATTTGACTAATGGCATGTCCATATTCAACAAGGATCTAAAGAACAGGATATGATATGCACTGGAATCAAGAAAAAGGAAATTATGACTAAAATCGAATAATTTTAATTGACTTTCTACAATTTTTAGTATTTGGAGTATATTACATTGATAAAAATGACGTTAACACTATAATCATGCTCATGCAGTTAGCTTGATTTTGTCGAAGACCTTATGGCATATTCCAGAATATAAATAACTGTATATTCTAGTAATCCAAAATCATTTATTGACATGAGGAAAGTAAAAAAGATACCATTGCACTGCTATAATCGAACTTCCTGAAGAAAGATGCATTGATGCTGACATTTCCAACTGCAGGTAGCTTGGCAGTAAACTCAGGCAACTGAATGTTCATTTACAGAAGTAATTAAGTTAGATTGTGCTGTCTTAAACCCAACAAAGCACATTAAAATGAAAAGCTTACTACTTAAGATAGCACATATTTGCAATGCAACTGAACATGTTAAAGATGAATGTTAATTTTATATAGGAGTCATGATTATGACAGTGGTTAAAACCAGAATGAGCTTTATAAATGGTAATAGATACAAAAGGTAGCAAGAATGACAAAACTAATCTAGAACGAAGTATATCATTTCTATGAAGTAGAGAAAGAACCCTTTGCAATCTAGAAAATTGTGGAAACTTTCCATGTAACAGAGGAAAATATATTTGCTGCTATTTACACTTCTCAAGCTACTTATATGATTTTTCACAAGGGTCCTCCTTTGCCATGGATGCACATTGCTGCAAGATACATGCATACCAATGACTGATAAGTGATATCTTGGACGAATATTACAAGATCCCTCATGCAGATTTTTGCCATGCCAAATACATGCTCACTAAGCATAGCACCATATCACTGAATGGGGTTTTCCTATCCTTATTTTTGAAATGGCATAGCTACTGGCACTCTCATTTTGGGAGGATGAGAAAAGCTTGGAGACATTTTTTCCATCACCAATCCACAGTTTATTTCTGCTGTTTCATCCTTTGTCTATAAACAAAAAAATGATGAAGATTTGTGTCTTCAATCTAATCCCTCAGGCAAATGGGTGGATGTCCTTGGATCTAGCATCTACTCACCCGTTCATTAGTATGCAAGAAGGACACAGATTTAGAAGAAATTTTTGGGCAGTTTGGTCCCAATATATCAAAGAATGAACAGAACAACAGCGGATGTCAAAAATCTACCATAGAAAGACTTCATGAATTAAGATGAAGCAGATAGCCAATTAATAAAATTTCAAAAAGAAGGTCTGGTTTCCCCAATTTTCCTTCTTTTTGTGAAGCTCTAAAGGCATTCTTGGTGGAAGACTTCCACCAGCCTGGTCACTTTATGCTAGGATGCCTTTCTAAAGAGGCGTGCAGTCATGCTTCCATCCATTCATCCATGCCTCTAAAGTTCACTGAGTGCTTGGCATATTCCTGCTATATTTAACGAGGCTTTCTGAAGACAGTCCACTTAGCATCACCTACTGTCCTCTTCATCTTTTTTGTTTTTTCACCGTGTGCTTGAACTTCATCCAGGAACAAATAAGTGATAACTGATCCAAACTATGAGAAGTCAAACTCATGCAGTTCAGTTAAAGTGACAGCTGAAAAGAGAAGTACAACCCCTTGCAACTGGCATGACCAGTTGTGTTCTGCTCAAATGCTTACAGCCCATTTTCAACAACATCATCTCTCACAAAGAAAATTAACATAGGAATTACTTTTTATCTAACCATATTTAAGCTGAAACTATCAAACACATGACCCATTTCAAGCTTCATCTATTCTTGGCCAAAAGCTTTAACTTACAAATCCATAACTAAGATTGTTTAAAGACTCACCCTAGATGTAATCTAGTGATTAGTGAAATCTGCAGATATCCCTCTGCAGGAAGAACTTCACCAATCTGCAAACTGGTGAATCGCATATGGTGGAAGGAATTGTAACTTGCATCAACTGCTGAGTTTACAATTATAACACATTGCATCTAGCTTAATAAACACTAAAAATGAAAAGCCTTTAAAAGAGTAATTATGCTACCTATGAAAAGGTAAAATAGACATAGACACATGATCATAAATTTGAATAAGTTCTTAATGCTATTTTAAAACTTAGTTATCAACAAGCAAATATTAGAGATGAAACAAGATAAAAATAAGACAATACATCAACATGAAAATATCATCTTTTAATGCTTGATAAAAATGTATTAGGATGAGAAACACCAAATGAAGGGAAAGGAAATTAAAAAAATAAGCTGATTTATTTAGAAAGTAGAAAGCATACAAATTATGAAAACCATGAAGATCTAAAAGATATGTCCTACCACAGAACAAATGAAACCAGAAAGATAATACGATTATTTCAACTGCATTATACTGCATTTGGAAAAAAACAAGAAAAAGAAAGCCTGCAGATAAAACCAAAAAAAGTCAATATACAACTGCTGTCACGTGTTAACAAACAGTCATCAAATACTTTACCTTTAGCATCTTGAGATAATCAACCAGGTCATTTTCGAAAAAAGAATCCTTGCATGAATTGTTGTCTTTCCAAGGGAAGTCTTGCATCCACAATCCCTGGGTTTTGTTATTCCAATCAACATATATTAAATTTGCTGTGTGCACAACAACACGAACTCCACTGTGATATACAAGAAGCATGAATTTGGAATGGTGTGTTCCATATGCTATAGGAAGTGGGGGCTTGTGAAGGACCCAATTGGCAGGTTTTACTTTCTGTTGTACCACATTCACAGATTTGTCAGTGTACGCAACAAGGAAAAGATCAGAAAGAGTGACAAATACACTATAGACAGGATATATACCTTAAGGTGATCTTCTGTAGCACCACTTTCTCCATGAACAACAAGGACATGTGGGACTTTCCTCAAGCTTGGGCATGCTACAAATAAGGAAAATTTGTATTTCTTATATAACAAGCTTGGCATGTTAGCCTGTGTAAAATATAACCAAACAAAAAAACAGTTGCATGGGACATTTAAATTGTTTCCTAATCAATCATCCAAAGTGCAAAGGAGTCAAGTTTAATAGTAGTTGTAACTAGTCATTGAAAAAAAATTATATTTTTTTCCTTTTAGAGAAAATTACATCACACCCCTTTCTTGTCAAAAATTATGTATATTATAAGCTTAATTGAGATTAATTTTGACCTAAAATGTCAGCTACATGTTATATGAAGTGCCTACCAAAGGATAACTTCTCAAAATGTAAAAGAAAATGAAAATATTCTCTTTGTCAAGGTTCTTAATTTCGTACCATACAAGCATTTTGAGTTTTGCTCGATACAGTATGGTACGAGCGTACCATACCTCTTGGTGTGTGTGTGTGTGTATATATATATATATATATATATATATATATATATATATATATAAAATAAGAAAAAGGAGGCGTATGCTAACTCGATGACGTCGCCTCCTTTTCTTCTCCTCATCGCGTCAAATAAGAAAAAGGAGAAGGCGCAATCTTCTCCTCATCTGCGGCGTTCAACGAAGATGCCTTCTCCCTCGACGCTTCTTCTTCTCTCGCCGTAGCCAAGTTGATACCGCCCGGTAGCGAGCAATGACGGTCGAAATCGATCGTTATCGACCTATTTCGGGTGGTAACGATTGAAATATCGACCGTTACCGCCCGATACAACTCTGTATCGTCCGATATGGGGCTAGATCAATGGTACTACCTGGTAGCGAGCGGTCCACATACCGGTCTGCTAGCGAACCGGTACATACCGCCCAGTACGAGCGGTATCATTCAAAATTAAAATCCTTGCTCATTGTTATGTTATTACTTTCTTTTCTATTGTCTCAATTACTACGTTTTGATGCACTTACAAGTACATGCATTTGATATAAATAATTAGAGAAATAAGTACAAGAAGTAATGGTTCTGATATATTATCTTGATAATCAGCCTAGTCTCCACACAAAAAATAAAATCAATTTTACCTTGTACTTTAGTTTGTTTGCACCATTAGGCTGCAATTTGAGTGGTTACGACATGAAGAAACACATGATTTTAGCTGATGCATAAGAATTTCCATCACAACTCATATTTCAGCTAGCTTTACTTGTGAATAACTAGCCAAAGTCGTAAAAAATTTGGCCAAAATTCTGCAACCCAATTAGGTGTATTTTTATTCTCCCATTCCTCTGAAAACCTTCATGGACCATGGCCCATAACCCCATAATTGTCTTCCTCATGATTCCCAATTTCAATTACCAAAAACCAAGGGCACTTCATCACTGATGATCCACCTCTAGCTACAATGACCACACCACACCCACCCTCAAGACGAACACATATTGAAGTTTTTCAAAAATTGATATCACAACCTTAGGGTATTAAATTATTTTTGTCATTTCTATTGTTTATTTTCTCCCTTTTTCCACTATGTTGGAGACAACTATCTGTTATCCTAGCATGCCTTGGTGTATCATGTCACCACAGAATAGGACATTGCACATATCAATCCAACCAAGAACTACCAGAGTAACCAAACAAACACAGTGAATCCTTGGTCTGCTTCGTCAATTGTTAAACAATTTATTGGACTATTCGAGTTATGTTTAGATAGAATAGATATGGTCCCAATAGAATATTATAAGAAAAGTCAAAGAGAATCATGCTTCCACAAGTGAATTAGTAAATAATAAATATTATTGAATATATATATATATATATATATCATGGTTTGTAATACTGTATCATACCGTTCGGTACGGGAGGTACGTACCAGTCCAATAAAGGATTGGTATGGCCGGTACATCGGTACATCTTAGTGTACCATGTGTCAGTACGCTCGGTACATACCATATCGACAATTTATCGATACAATGGTATGATATGGTATTATATATATGTGTGTATATATACACACATATATATAATACCATATAATACCACATATATATATATATATATATAT